ATCTAAACTGAAAATATATGATCAATACTTCCAATGTTCGATGCAATGAGAGAATACCCATGTTTATCCAGCAACATCTATCATAGAAGGCCATGAAACAAATATCCCAAGAGAAGTGGTGGAAGCCCTGATACTTGATACATTGAATACTAGCCTGGAAAAATCACTAGTAGATGTGCACAGAGAACAGTGTTGCCCTAGCAGTGAGATGAAATAGATAACAGAACAGACATTTTCCATCTCTAGGTTTTAAGAATCTCTGTTCAGAAAACTAATCACAACTGACTTACTGTTCAATTAAAAATAAAATAAAATCACATCAAATTGACTGATAGCTTGGTGAGATCTAAAATTCTTCGAGAGAAACTTCTAATATGCAGTGTTGCAAAGACTGCAAGCACAAAAATCATGAGCTTTTTATAAACTAATAATTATAAATTGTATTATATTTAGTTTGTTTTCCTGCTTTTACTTTTTTTTAATCTTTAGAGTGAAGTCCTCATGCTAGTGCTGCCAACATTCATGCAAAGTCCCAGGACACCTATTCATGATTTCAGGTTGATTTTGAAAGCTACTTGTGCAGATGAGTGCTTGAATCACTAAAAGCTGTGGGGTCGGCAGCTTCTGAGCACACTTAATGGATTGGGCCCCACCCACGAGTTAAGAACCTCTACCTTCCCCCAGTTCATTGATCACTCTGGGACTTAGGCAGGAGATAGAGGTCTGGATGCCTAGATGGAGGCAGCAGTGTGTATGCCCAGAGACAGAAACTTAGGTGCTATGGAACTTTTACTTGAACATAGAATCATAGAATCATAGAATATAAGGGTTGGAAGGGACCCCAGAAGGTCATCTAGTCCAACCCCCTGCTCGAAGCAGGACCAATTCCCAGTTAAATCATCCCAGCCAGGGCTTTGTCAAGCCTGACCTTAAAAACCTTTAAGGAAGGAGATTCTACCACCTCCCTAGGTAGATGCTGAGTGACCTTGGGCACCTACAACACTGGTGGGAGTTTTGTGGATTGCAGTGAAGCCTAAAACTTTGATTTAGGAATTTAACACCCAGATTTAGGCATCTAAGTTTGGGGTTTGCACACTGAAGTACCTTTGTAAATCTCAGCCAAAGTGTATAAGACACTACCTAGTATAGCTTCGTTTGATAGATATATATCATACATTCCTAAACTATATGGTTTGAAAACTGTTTAAAAATCCAGGTCACTCTCCCATACTTCACTACACAGGGCATATGCAGAGCCAAATTTATAAAAACTAATGAAGCCCTGCTCAGATGCTCGCTAGACTGGTGGCAAATATCATAACATTGTATGGAAAAAAAATCCGCAAAGTAAATATTTTGTCATGGGCCTCGTGTCTGTGGCAAACGTATGGACAAAGCACCTAACTCTGTGAAGACTTATGCCCATGAGTAACTTTTCTCATATGAGTAACCCCGTTGTTCCAAATTCTGCTTTTCAAATAATCCAATATGTTATGATTGTCATGGTTATGGGACTAGCTACACTCAGTCCCCTTCCTGGTCTCTCTGAGTACAGCCCCTTAGGTACTAGGTGGTGTGCCTTTACCTCTCCTAGGGTGGAATCCCACAGTTCTCTTACTCTGAGACTGGGCGCTGGACTACAGTACTCTGTTTATTAACTGTGCTTACCCAGCAGATCCAACTGGGTTTGGCACACGTGCTTCTTCCCTTCAGGAACCTGCAACCAGTAGTAAATACAGTGACCAGACAGCCTTCTTAAACCAAAGTATTGATTAATCTTAACAGAAGAACCAAAGCATAGTATAAGAGATTTAGGCGTTGGCTTTACAGCAATAAACAGTCTATATGTAGTTCTACCTTATCTAAAGTCTTGGCAGTACCCTAAGAAGGCCTCCGTTCAATACATTTCCAATAAAGTACCCCCTCTGAACAGAAAGTGTTCTCTTAGAGTCACTATAAGAATTAACTAACTATAACAAAAATAGTCTTTTTAATCTGTTGGTTCCCTCCCTCCGGGGGTGCCACCTGGAACTGGGGTAGCACTGAGCCTTCTGACCCACCAGCCTGGGCTCCCTCTCACACTGTGCTGCTGTGACAAGCTGCAAAGTCCCCCAATCTTGCACTTTCACCAGCAGTCACACAGTTACATGCAGGCTTTCTAATCACCAGCCTCCCAGCCTAGGACCCCAGAGCAGTACCATCCTGCCCTGGTCAAATCTGGCCAGTATATGGGTTTAACACTTGGTCCGCCTCTCCCTGAATGTGAAGAGGACCATGTACATTTGTGGTAGTCAAACAGAGATTTTCCACAAGCACTCCAGTCACAGCTCACTGATTTAGATTAAAACAAAACCACGTTTATTAACTACCAAAGATAGATTTTAAGTGATTATAAGTGATGGCAAACAGATCAAAGCAGCTCATCTAGCAAATAAACAAAAAATACAAACTAAGCTTATTATACTTGATAGATTGGCTATGAATTAGCAGATTCTCACCCTAAGAGATAATACAAGCAGGCTGCAGTTTCTTAAGGGGCAAGCTGCACTTGCTTTATAGTTTAGAATCCCCAAGTGTTTCATGCACAGTCTAGAAATCCCTTTAGCCTGGATCCAGCACTTCTCTCAGTTCAGTCTTCATTCCTCAGGTGTTTTTAGGAGTCTTCTTGTGTGGGGAGTGAAGAGCCCCAGATGATGTTACTCCCCGACTTATATAGCTTTAGCATATGGTGGGAACCCTTTGTTCCAAATCTTGGCTCCCATACCAGTCTGTGGAAAAATACTGACATCCCAAGATGGAGTCCAGTATCATGTGACCTGGTCACATGTCCTTGTAGAGTCATAGCAGCCATCACTCATAGGCTCTCTGGAGTGTTCTCAAGAAGGCTCACCAGGTGGGGTATAAGCTTCTTCTAAGGCCTATTGTTTTCCCTATTGGCTCATTGCTCTGAATAGCCCTTCCCAGCCAGCTATCTAGACTGAAAGCATCTTGTCTATTGTATGTTACCTAGGTGTAACTATATTTGAAATACAGATACATAGTCAATATTCATAACTTCAGATACAAAAATGATACATGCATACAAATAGGATAATCATATTCAGCAAATCACAACTTTTCCTATGACAGCTCACATGACTTATCTTATACAAAATGCATCATAATTATGCCATAATTATATCATGGTAATATCACTGTGAAGAATATGGGGTGTAGTGTCACACCTGGCAATGACAAAACAAGCTGTGTAACTTGGCTGGAGTCTGAAAGGTAAGCTCTTCATAGTTACTAGCACAGGCATTGTCTGTTAACCACCCCAGGAAGTACCTAATCTTGAGTTACTGTTCTGCCTTCCTGTGTGTTTCCCAAACAGCCTTGTTGATCTAATCCAGTATAAGGATATGGTAAACCTCCCAATATTTAACCCAATTTAGTCATACAGTAACTATCCCAATAACCATGGCACATACAGTATTCATAAAGTATTACAAGCATCCCGTATCCTTCACAAACGTGCATTTTTCCAAATGAGCCCTTGACTCAATCATTTGCTCATTTTGTATTACATATCATGAATTAAGCAGGGCTATTGTCATTGTACATCATGTAGCGTACTCTTATTGTCTCATAGACACAATACAACAAGATGGTGCATGTATAGACTAGAGAATAAAAGTTATTATGCTGTATTTAAATGCTCATGCAACATGAAAAGTTGATCTTTTTAAAAAATGTGTAAAAAGTAATATGCTCTCTGCAACTGTTGTAATCACATATGCCTATTTTAAAAGTGTTCTTGTGTTCCTTTTAGCTATGTGGAAAACATAGTCAACACAGAGAAATTGATTAAGTTCCCATTCTTGCAAACACAAAAGGAAAACTTATACTAAATGTTACCAAATTCAGAAAAAAATGTAAAAATATATATTCTGATCTCTTTCAATTATAATAAACCTAGTGTTACTTGTTAAAATAATAGGTTAAAAAAATCACAAAGCAGCATGATTTTTAAATTGATGATGTCCCTTTAAGAAACACTATGTTAGAGGCAATTAAACATTACATATTAATGCAAATGTACAAGGGGACAAGTTAAGCTTCCACATGCAAATTTAATTTCAGCACATCCACACTTATGAGTACTTACCCTGCAACCCTAATGTTCTTTTCAGATATGGGTTTTTGTTTGGTTGGTTTTTGTGTCTATAAAGTTGTATCAGTTTAGTTACTTTAAAGATGCACATGGCAAGAAGTGTGTCATCTTCTTCAGAGTGGGTACCCTTTGCTCCACACTTTGTTTCACAGTTTTATCATCCTTCATTTGTTAACAAACCAGTAGATTGAAAGGACAAGAGTTCGAATTTGTTTTTCACCGTGTTGAAAGCTAAGGGACCTAGGGTTTGTTCTGGTTTCTGTTATCTTTCCACTTTGATTTTTAACCATATTAGTTTTAGTTGCTAAGACATAAACTAGGAAGATGGAGTTAGCTTGCAGGAAATGCATTATTTATAAAACAAATGGAACTGAACTGAAATATTGATGGGGCTGTCTCTGCTCTTCGGCTACATCTACACTTGGAGCTAAGGGAGTGAGCCCCAGTTTGCGTAGACATACTCAAGCTAGCTTTCATCGAGCTAATGTGCTAAAAATATCAGTGTAGCCGGGATAGCCCAGGCAGCAGTGAGGTAGTATGTGCTCACCTATCTGCGAACAAACCTTCCTGGACCCCGGGGGTACGTACTCAGGTGGCTATCCCATGCTTCTGCTCCTCACTGCCCATGCTACTGTGGCTACACTGCTATTTTTAGTGTACTCTCTTGATGAGAGCTAGTGTGAATATGTCCATGCGAACTGTGAATCACACCCCTCCCTCCAAGCACAGATGTAGCCCTAATTTCTTAGGCAAAAACAAGGTTTTCTGTTTACTTGAGGGAAGCTATGAAATAGTGTTATCTCTTGATGATTACAAACCCTAATGCACATACCCTAAACAATCTTGGCCCTGGTCTACACTAGGACTTTAGATCGAATTTAGCAGCGTTAAATCGATTTAAACCTGCACCCGTCCACACAATGAAGCCCTTTATTTCGACTTAAAGGGCTCTTAAAATCGATTTCCTTACTCCACCCCTGACAAGTGGATTAGCGCTTAAATCGACGTTGCCGGCTCGAATTTGGGGTACTGTGGACACAATTCGATGGTATTGGCCTCCGGGAGCTATCCCAGAGTGCTCCATTCTGACCGCTCTGGACAGCGCTCTCAACTCAGATGCACTGGCCAGGTAGACAGGAAAAGAACCGCGAACTTTTGAATCTCATTTCCTGTTTGGCCAGCGTGGCAAGCTGCAGGTGACCATGCAGAGCTCATCAGCAGAGGTGACCATGATGGAGTCCCAGAATCGCAAAAGAGCTCCAGCATGGACTGAACGGGAGGTACGGGATCTGATCGCTGTTTGGGGAGAGGAATCCGTGCTATCAGAACTCCGTTCCAGTTTTCGAAATGCCAAAACCTTTCTGAAAATCTCCCAGGGCATGAAGGACAGAGGCCATAACAGGGACCCGAAGCAGTGCCGCGTGAAACTGAAGGAGCTGAGGCAAGCCTACCAGAAAACCAGAGACGCGAACGGCCGCTCTGGGTCAGAGCCCCAAACATGCCGCTTCTATGATGAGCTGCATGCCATTTTAGGGGGTTCAGCCACCACTACCCCAGCCGTGTTGTTTGACTCCTTCAATGGAGATGGAGGCAATACAGAAGTAGGTTTTGGGGACGAAGAAGATGATGATGAGGAGGTTGTAGATAGCTCACAGCAAGCAAGCGGAGAAACCGGTTTTCCCGACAGCCAGGAACTGTTTCTCACCCTAGACCTGGAGCCAGTACCCCCGAACCCACCCAAGGCTGCCTCCTGGACTCAGCAGGCGGAGAAGGGACCTCTGGTGAGTGTACCTTTTAAAATGCTATACATGGTTTAAAAGCAAGCATGTGAAAGGATTACTTTGCCCTGGCATTTGCGGTTCTGCCTTTGCAAAAGGTTTCTGGGGAGGGCAGCCTTATTTCGTCCTTCATGGTAGGACACTTTACCACTCCAGGCCAGCAACACGTACTGGGGAATCACTGTAGAACAAAGCATTGCAGTGTATGTTTGCTGGCATTCAACCAAAATCCGTTCACGCGGTGGGAGGAGGCAAAATGCGACCTTGTAACGAAAGCACATGTGCTATGTATGTAATGTTAACTTTCAAGGTTTACCCTGAAAGAGTGTAGCCACTGTTTTATAAAATGTGTCTTTTTAAATACCGCTGTCCCTTTTTTTTTCTCCACCAGCTGCATGTGTTTCAATGATCACAGGATCTTCTCCTTCCCAGAGGCTAGTGAAGCTTAGAAAGAAAAAAAAAACGCACTCGCGATGAAATGTTCTCCGAGCTCATGCTGTCCTCCCACACTGACAGAGCACAGACGAATGCGTGGAGGCAAATAATGTCAGAGTGCAGGAAAGCACAAAATGACCGGGAGGAGAGGTGGAGGGCTGAAGAGAGTAAGTGGCGGGCTGAAGAGAGTAAGTGGCGGGCTGAAGACAGGGCTGAAGCTCAAAGGTGGCGGCAGCGTGATGAGAGGAGGCAGGATTCAATGCTGAGGCTGCTGCAGGACCAAACCAGTATGCTCCAGTGTATGGTTGAGCTGCAGCAAAGGCAGCTGGAGCACAGACTGCCACTGCAGCCCCTCTGTAACCAACCGCCCTCCTCCCCAAGTTCCATAGCCTCCACACCCAGACGCCCAAGAACACGGTGGGGAGGCCTCCGGCCAACCAGCCACTCCCCCACAGAGGATTGCCCAAAAAAAAAGAAGGCTGTCATTCAATAAATTTTAAAGTTGTAAACTTTTAAAGTGCTGTGCTTAAAGTGCTGTGTGGCATTTTCCTTCCCTCCTCCACCACCCCTCCTGGGATACCTTGGTAGTCATCCCCCTATTTGTGTGATGAATGAATAACGAATGCATGACTGTGAAGCAGCAATGACTTTATTGGCTCTGCAAGCAATGATTAAAGGGAGGAGGGGAGGGTGGTTAGCTTACAGGGAAGTAGAGTGAACCAAGGGGCGGGGGGTTCATCAAGGAGAAACAAACAGAACTTTCACACTGTAGCCTGGCCAGTCATGAAACTGTTTTTCAAAGCTTCTCTGATGCGTACCGCGCCCTCCTGTGCTCTTCTAACCGCCCTGGTGTCTGGCTGCGCGTAACCAGCAGCCAGGCGATTTGCCTCAACCTCCCACCCCGCCATAAACGTCTCCCCCTTACTCTCACAGATATTGTGGAGCACACAGCAAGCAGTAATAACAGTGGGAATATTGGTTTCGCTGAGGTCTAAGCGAGTCAATAAACTGCGCCAGCGCGCCTTTAAACGTCCAAATGCACATTCTACCACCATTCTGCACTTGCTCAGCCTGTAGTTGAACAGCTCCTGACCACTGTCCAGGCTGCCTGTGTACGGCTTCATGAGCCATGGCATTAAGGGGTAGGCTGGGTCCCCAAGGATACATATAGGCATTTCAACATCCCCAACAGTTATTTTCTGGTCTGGGAATAAAGTCCCTTCCTGCAGCTTTTGAAACAGACCAGAGTTCCTGAAGATGCGAGCATCATGCACCTTTCCCGGCCATCCCACGTTGATGTTGGTGAAACGTCCCTTGTGATCCACCAGAGCTTGCAGCACTATCGAAAAGTACCCCTTGCGGTTTATGTACTCGGCGGCTTGGTGCTCCGGTGCCAAGATAGGGATATGGGTTCCATCTATAGCCCCACCACAGTTAGGGAATCCCATTGCAGCAAAGCCATCCACTATGACCTGCACATTTCCCAGGGTCACTACCCTTGATATCAGCAGATCTTTGATTGCGTGGGCTACTTGCATCACAGCAGCCCCCACAGTAGATTTGCCCACTCCAAATTGATTCCCAACTGACCGGTAGCTGTCTGGCGTTGCAAGCTTCCACAGGGCTATCGCCACTCGCTTCTCAACTGTGAGGGCTGCTCTCATCTTGGTATTCATGCGCTTCAGGACAGGGGAAAGCAAGTCACAAAGTTCCATGAAAGTGCCCTTACGCATGCGAAAGTTTCGTAGCCACTGGGAATCGTCCCAGACCTGCAACACTATGCGGTCCCACCAGTCTGTGCTTGTTTCCCGAGCCCAGAATCGGCGTTCCACAGCATGAACCTGCCCCATTAGCACCATGATGCATGCATTGTCAGGGCCCATGCTTTCAGAGAAATCTGTGTCCATGTCCTGATCACTCACGGGACCGCGCTGACGTCGCCTCCTCGCCCGGTATCGCGTTGCCATGTTCTGGTGCTGCATATACTGCTGAATAATGCGTGTGGTGGTTAATGTGCTCCTAATTGCCAAAGTGAGCTGAGCGGGCTCCATGCTTGCCGTGGTATGGCGTCCGCACAGAAAAAAGGCGCGGAACGATTGTCTGCCGTTGCTCTGACGGAGGGAGGGGCGACTGACGACACGGCTTACAGGGTTGGCTTCAGGGAGCTAAAATCAACAAAGGGGGTGCCTGTACATCAAGGAGTATTTCAGGCAGGACTGCACGGAGGGTTCCAATAAGAAATGGTGCACCTAAGTTATCGTTGTTATTGGAACAAGGAGGTTAGCCTGGCCTCTGATTGATACATGGCTAGATTTACCTCGCTGCACCTTCTCTGTGAGTGACTGCAGTGTGACCTAGAGGAATGAGTCCCCTAGACAGGGGAGGAGGCAAATGAGTACAAAACAAATCTGGTCTATTTCTTGTTTTGACCCACTCCATCTATCTTTTACATCTTTGGCTGGCAGCAGACGGTGCAGAAGGACTGCATGCCATCCACATCTCATGGCTGCTCGGCAGAAGATGGTACAGTACGCCTGCTAGCCATCCCCATCTCTTGCCTGCCTGGCAGAAGATGGTGCAATACGACTGCTAGCAATCCTCATCTCTTGCCTGCCTGGCAGAAGATGGTACAGTACGACTGCTAGCAGTCCGTATCGCCTGCCTGCTCACCATAAGACGGTTCAATAGGACTGACTGCAGGACTAAAGAGAATGACCTGGTCAAGTCACTCCAAATGTAGTCCCTGCGCCCATGTCTGCCCAGGCGCTCCCAGCCGACGCGGCCAGGAGCACCTCGGACACGATGAGGACGACTACCAGTCGTATTGCACCGTCTGCTGCCAGAAGGCAAGGGGTTACTGCTACTGTGCAGCAAAGCCGTACCGCGTCTGCCAGCACCCAGGAGACATAGGGTGACGGTTACCTGAGCGGGCTCCATGCTTGCTGTGGTATGGCGTCTGCACAGGTAACTCAGGAAAAAAGGCGCGAAATGATTGTCTGCCCTTGCTTTCACGGGGGGAGGGAGGGAACGGGAGGCTGACGATATGTACCCAGAACCACCCGCGACAATGTTTTAGCCCCATCAGGCATTGGGATCTCAACCCAGAATTCCAATGGGCAGCGGAGACTGCGGGAACTGTGGGATAGCTACCCACAGTGCAACGCTCCGGAAGTCGACGCTTGCCTCGGTACTGTGGAAGCGCTCCGCCGAGTTAATGCACTTAATGCACTTAGAGCATTTTCTGTGGGGACACACACACTCGAATTTATAAAACCGATTTCTAAAAAACCGACTTCTATAAATTCGACCTTATTCCGTAGTGTAGACATACCCTTGAAAAAAATCAAAGAGTCACAAATCTCCATTATTTTACGTAATTCTTCTTCAATGTGTAATGTGCCTAATAAATAAAATACTGCCAGGCTCATAAAAATATTTTAAAAATGTTTAAAATTGCATCATCTTAGATTTATCTTTAATTTAAAAAATCCCCAAATCAAAAAGTCTCGATTTCTACCCTCTCAAACACAATTTTCTGCCTGATTAATTGAGATACGAGACTCCCATTGACGTGACTGGCACAGGATTAAGCCTTGAAAGCCTAGTGAAGAGACAGGTGTTGCAACTTATCCCAAAGGTCAGTTAAATTGGGCTGTTGAACTGAAAGAGGAAGTAAATTCCAGAGAACTCGGGTTATCCACCTACAACAAATACCCTGCTGTCAACTCCCAGACATACAAACAGAAATGGACTGTCATCCTATATGCCTCATCTGCTCTCAGTGGTGGTAGTATAACACAGGCAGAGGCAGTATTCTAGATTCACAGGGCACTAAAAAGATTTATAGTTTAAAACTAACAACTCAGATTGCATTTAAGAGGAAAATGGAGGATAGTGCACTTTATGGAGCATTCAAATCTGGAGATATCCTACAGTCCTCCTAAGGTAAGTTATCTCCTCACACACAAAAATCAGATTTCTTAATGCTTCTTCCTCTTATTCAATCATAATCCCTTCACTTCCTATATCAGGCACAAATATACTTTCGGCTTCTTCCAAAGAGGCTTCTCTTGATCTCTCTCCATTAAGCAGTGCACCCCACCAGACTTTCCTTCAATCTTTTTTTCCATTCTCTGCATCCTTTAGTCAAGGTATAAAGTCTTCCCTGTTGTAAATTACTTTGTGGTTGCTCCCTTATGCATCACACTGGGGCCAGAGGAGCTGCAGCCAAGCCGCCAGGCACACCGGGGCCACTGCGGCTGTGCCACCTGGCTGCCCGGGGCCAGGGGCCGCAGCGGGGTACTCTGGGATCCTGCGGGAGGAAGCGGACAGAAGGTGAGGGGAAAGAGAGGGGCCTTGGGTAGAAGAGGAGGGGCCGGGAGCTGGTCTTCCCCAACAACTGGTTCACCAGCTGCCCATATCCCTACCTCTTCTTCACACAGGTTAGGTGGGTCTTTTTTTTTCCCTCACTCATGTCATGATTTCAGCTTATGCTCATAACTTTACACATAATGTTGCTACAGGCACTTTACCATATTACTGATCAGCAAGTTGTGAGTTTTCAAATGATACCTCAGAAGACATACCGTGTACAAAGATTATTACAATAGTGTGTAGGGTGTGAACACAGGTGTGCAGTCCATTACACATTTTTTAAAAAAAATGTCTTTCAAACTGGCTCGTGAAATTTTTCATTTTTAAAAAAAAGTCTTCATTTTTTGTGTGCAAAATAAAAAAAATACCTTGAAAATGAATATTTTGGTCAGTCTAGTCACTTGGTAAGATTTTTAAAGTATTTTTCAAATATTTCATATTTTTTTATTTTGGAAATGAATAAACCATAAATAAAAAAGGATGAAAAATTCTAAAACCAACATTTTTTGAAAAAAGCCCTCTCTATATATATATATATATATATATACATTTATATATTAAGATCACAGCAACAAGCTTGATGTGGCCTGAAACAAAGAGAATTAGGGATTTTAGGGGAAAAGTAAAAAGTATAGATGAACAAAAAAAGTTAGCTGGAAATGACAGCTGTGGTGTAGGGAGATAGTAGGGATCAGAGTAACCCAGGGCTAGTGAGCAGGAGGTTTCATGGTATTAGTTACCCTTTAAAAAGTCACCATTTTTCAACAGATATTTAC